CTTTATTCTCATCCTATTATTAATTTTAGATAGAATTATCAAAAGGGAAAATGCACGCTACAGGTGCTCTCTCCTTCAAAACAGTGCTAACAATCACTCTTACGATTCATCCGCTCGTTTTAGGCGGTAAATTGATGCTGGTTCATGCCAAAGAGTCAAACTCGGCGTCAGTTTGCTTGTTAAACCCTTAAAAGATGGAATCATCGATTGTCTTGCTAGCAGGTGGTTATTGTCGGCATTTGCTACCACTCGGACTACTTCTCGAATGCCTCTGTCACTCATTAAAGTGTAGAGCGCGGGCAAGGTTTTGACACTATGACTTGGACTTGCCAGTTTCATATCATCGGTTACCTTGTTTTATGAAGAACAGTGTGCCTTCTTAGCACCACGATATGCGGGCGGACAAGAAATAGCATCCCAACGAAAAAGCTTTCTTGTATAATTGTTTCTTATTTCAGCAAAGCCGACGAATTGCTGAAGCTAATTACATCACATACACTCAACGATACATCTTTTGTCGAACTTCGTGAGCGTCTGGATACTTTTCGCCAGTGGTTGGATGATTATCGTGATACGATCTGGGATAGCGCTGGTCAGGATACGGTATCGGCGAATAAAATTACAGCTGTTGTTGCAAAGCGAGTGGATCGTTTTAAAGCCGTGGCCGCGAATATCAGTGAAATAAAAGCCAAAGCGGCGGACGAGATTAGTGAAGCTATCAATAAAGTGGAGATAGCGAAAAAGGAGAAAATTCTGAACATGTTCGATGATTTCAAGGTTATTCATAATTTCTCTTGCAGTTTACTTCCGTGAAATTTTTGAAAGCGAGAGCCATCTTTAATCCTACCAGCGGAGTATTGGCTGTTGACAATGTATTACATTTTGTTTGCCTACGGAATTCTGCGTCTCAGTGAAATATGGAGGGGTTCAACTGCAGTTTGCTAAATCTAACAATATCCACTTAATGAGATTTTGTCCGGGCTGTCGTGGTATTTTCGGTTAAAACTTTCCATCTATTTCAGTGGAAAGCTGGGTGCTAGTATTTTGACAAATATCAGTTTCTAAAAACATACAGTTTGTTATGCGTTTTGTGCTGTGTAATAGCAGTACAAAATGTGTGTCCGCAGAAAATTGTCTGCAACTTTCAAATCGGGAACCACAAAAGCTAGGAAGCTAAAAATTTAGAGAAACGCTCCCCACACACGTGTGATCCCGCAAATTTAAATTTAGCTTCCCCGTACCCGCGGGTAACACGTACGGCCTCGTGAAAGTTATTCACAGGTAAGTTAATATCTCGGGAACCACGGAGTCTTGAAGGCTGAAGTTTTAAGGTAATGACCCCCTACCCACGCTCAACCTTGCCCATTCAAATTCAGCGTTCTTGCGCTCTCGGTTGCCACCTACGACCTCGTGAAAATTTTTGCGGGCAAACTATTAACTCGGGAATCGGAAAGAAATTCATCCTTCGAGGTTTCGAATTCAGCTTTCATGCGCTGGTGCGTGAAATTTTTAA